AAATATTTTGGTATTACCACATATGTTTCAAATCATTAACATAACAAATTAAGGACTATAATTTTTTGGCATTTGTTATTTTAAAATAGTTCCCATAGATTTCTAAATCATCCCTTGATGAATTTTAGTTTCATAATATAAAAAAAGATAGTGTTTTCTTAACAGCATTGTTTGATATGATTCCAGGCCCATTACCAAAAAGAAGAGTTTGTCTGCAAGAGTCATTCCAGGGAAGGCTGACCAATTTTCTAAGGGCTTTGAAGATATTTTAAAATTTTCAAGTTTCTGTTTAGTTTTTCTTTGTATTCTCTGCTTATACAACAACTAACTCTGATCAGATTTTATAGAGATTTACAAAGCAGACATACAATTTTTTTTTGTCTTCTCAAATGTATTATCAACTACAGACTTCAAATTATTTTTTAACCAAACCAAACACTAACTGCTGAGTCCTGCCAATTATTTCATTTTCTCATAATGACTCGGGGCACTTGCAGCATACTTAAATAAAACTAAAAGTAGCAATTTATTTATTTTTATTTTTTTGAGATGGAGTCTCGCTCTGTCGCCCAGGCTGTAGTCCAGTGGCACCATCTCAGCTCACTGCAACCTCTGCCTCCTGGGTTCAAGTGATTTTAGTGCTTTGTCTCCCAAAATGCTGGGATTACAAGTGTGAGCCATTAGACCCTGCCAGAAGTAGCAATTTAGTTGCAGCAAGAGGCATTGAAAAAAATTCAGATGGTTGTTAGGACGTGGTGTAGCTTTAATTAAAAAAAAAAAAAATTCTTCAAACTGTGTTGAGGATAGCTTCAAATTAAGGGCTAGATTATTTATTCAATTTTTATATTAAAACTACTAGCATCTTTTATGGACCTACAGTAACATTTTGACATATTACGAGAACTTGTGTTATTTTTGGTTTGATTTCAAGAGTACATAATTACATTAATGTGTCTAATAAATTATGTGAGAAATGTAAAAGAGATTGAAATATAATGTCAACCTGAGTCATCTTTCAAATTTAGCTTTCTTTATGAAATACAAGTCTTGCTCTCCTGTTCTTATATAAAAGAGGAAAAAGTTGGGTTGTGTAAGGCAACTAGAGTGGAGAATTTAGTGTGGTTGGATGTCCAGTGGGTTTTTTTTAATGACTTCTTCTTTCCAATTTACGAGTGTCCATTAGTTCAGGGATTGAGCAATCTCTCAGGGGAAGAAAGACGGGGGAATTATTAAAAGTGGTGATCCCTTTCCTTTGCCTTGGCATGACACTCATTTCCTTTCCACAAAGTGTGTACAAATGACAAACCATGGAAAGTATGTTTAAATAGCCAACTGCTTTCTGTTGAGTCCTGTAAAAAGGGAGAAAGTGTTATCTAAATGGAGCGTCTTCTTTATTTAACTGTTGATTATGGATGGGATATGGATAAGAGAGAAAGGCAGGGATAACAACTGTGGAGAAAGTACTCTGCTAGGTTCTTCTAACCCCAAACAGCAGTGTTGCAGGTGTCCAGCATGCAACCCTCCTCCCTCAGCCTGGACAGCCGCAGCTCCTTCCCTGTTATCATCATTAGGCCTCTCCATTGCCCACTTACACAGCAGAATCTAGGTATGTTTGCATCATCTCTTTGGTTTTCTCTTTTACCTGCCTATACCTCATCTCTATCTACTTCCAGAGTTCTCTTTTCCAGCCATTCATTCTAACTCTAAATTCTTGCCAATTTCCCCTCCTCACTGACCTGGTTTTCCCTTTTTGCAACACTTATCACTTTCTGGGGAATTCTTGTAAAAGACTTTGGGGGAATATTTGAGGTTCAGGTACCAAGAAGCCCAGCAATGGGAGAGTGTGTCTCTCAACATTGTCTCAGCTGTGTGATGACAGATGAAAACCCTCTCACTAGCTATGGGGCATTATTACAGACCAAATAAAACAAGGTGCTGTTTGGCTGAGCCTGGTCCATGAGCAGAGCCTGAGCTAAGCCAATTTAAATGACATGATCTATATGTCAGAATACTTACCAAAATGGCAGCTTGAAGGTGAGAATCAATTGCTGCTGATTTGGCATAATGTGGGATAAATTTGCAAGGTTACCTTTTCACTGAAAATCATTGAATAGGAGACCTGGATTGCATTCTGGCTGGTTAAAGATAAATTTTCCCATTGTGGGCTTTAATTTCCTAACCATAAAACAAAGGCTATAGGGAGAGGTAAAAGCACTGGTTTCTAAAGTTCTTTTTTTTTTTAATTTTAACTTTAAAGTTTTAAAAATTTTAGGCAAATCTCATCTGGATGGTTTCTAAAGTTCTGAGTTCTAAAATTTCACGATTTTAGGACAATTTTGCTAAAATTATCTGTTTTGTTAGCTTGTCCTTGTATTTAAATTTTCACATTTAGAGGTTATTTTGTAACCTCTATTTATGTTGGGGAGGGACAATAAATTATGGCATTATTAGCAGAGGAATAATTTTTACCAGGAAACTAGCTACAGAATGCAGCAAGGTGTAGGTAAAGCTTGGGAAAAAAACTGAGCTCATAAAGTACATTGGCAGGGGACAATTTCTCTGTAATAACCTGAGCCTCGAGGTTCTGGGTGCTGAGAAACAAGTAGAAGGATACTACGCAGCCATAAAAAATGATGAGATTGTGTCCTTTGTAGGGACTTGGATGAATCTGGAAACCGTTCTGGAAATCTGGAAATCATTCTCAGCAAACTGACACAAGAACAGAAAACGAAACATCGCATGTTCTCACTCATAGGCTGGTGTTGAACAATGAGAACATGTGGACTCAGGGAGAGGAGTAGCACACACTGCGGGCAGTTGGCGGGGGCTAGGGGAGGGACAGCAGGGGGTGGGAAGGGTGGGGAGGGATAATATGGGGAGAAATGCTGGATATAGTATGCACCTATGCAACAACCCTGCATGACCTGCACATGCACCCCAGAACCTAAAGTAAAATAAAAAATAAAAAAAGAAGGCTGAGAGATGAAAGTCCCCAAGGCCAAACGGATACTTATGTTTTTTCAAAAAGCAGTGTGATGCTGCAAGCAAATGGAACTTCCAGAGAAAGTTGCTATGGCTAAGATGACTCACTTCAAAGGTACAACGATCATTTTACCCAGGATTTATGTTACTTCTTGGAAGAGAGAGGGTTTGCAGAAAAGAAGTTGATGAAGATTTAGAGATATGTTCTGTAAACCTAAGAGAGGAAGGAAACAAAGACGCTCATGATTTCATACTACCTTCTGTATCACAGATTTGAAATTTGAATCTACATCAAAGAAACTGAAAAGAAAAACTTAGTCAAGACAGATGAGCAGATCATACCACACCTCTGCCAGCAGCACCAGAAAATGAAGACCATTCAAAGTGATACTTGGGCCCAGGTAGAAATCACTTCAGTGGGGGTCAAAGAGGAGAGGCTGTGCAGGCAAGTGTCCTGGGCTTGGTGTCAGATAGACTGGAAAAGAAACCTTGCTCTCCCTTACTAACTATGCGTTTGGGCAAGGGGCTTCACTTCTGTGAGTTTAGTTTTGTTCTCTATAAAATTGGGGTTGCCATCTACTCCTTAAAGTTGGTAAGTAAATGAAATAACTTGTAAAAAATGAGATAACACTTGTTTTCAAAAAGTCATTCAGGAAGCCCCTGTCCTAAGGTGGATGCATCACATTAAAAAAAGAAAAAGTTCTTCCCAATAATACTGGTTAATGTGAAATTAACCCCTCAGGAGTGGAGTTGCTAGCTGCAGTTCCTTCTCCTTGCTGTCTTGACACAGGAAGAAGTAAGCCATGAGCAGGACTGGCCAGTGTCTAATGTTCAGGCATGGAGAAATCTGCATAAGGGCCCAGGCTCTAAGTTTCCAGAAAGTTCTGGGAAATATTTCACAATCTCAACATGATCCCTTGGATACAGGATTGAATCTCCCTCCCTTTACATGCATTAGTGAAGTCTAAATTGTGATCTAATATCCCGTACATAGGAAATCCTGTCATGTGAGTTTTTAAAATGTGTGAACCAGCAGAATTCTGAAAAATTATACCTTAGGCTATGCACACTTCAGTATGAGTGAATCACATGTGACAATGTGCTGACAGTGATGACCTTCCATTTGTGTGCTAAAGTGACTTCCTGTGCATTAGCAAGGTTTTCGGAATTAGATTAAGTTGCACTTTCTAAAGTTCTTTAAGTCTTACACGTGAATTGACTGTGCTTTCCTATACTTCTGAAGCCATTTATACTTGCCAAAATATAATTTAAGACAAGTGTTACTGTCTCTTATTGCAAATAGAACATATGTTTTGCACAATGAGATTTTATTGCTTGGCACACATGACTTTAGCATGCTTTAGTGTGAAGTAAGTTTTCCAAGACTAGAGGATTTGGCAAGTATAAGAGGTTAAAGTTTTCATTTTAGGTACCCCTTCCCCCAAGTCTCTCCAAAGATGAGAGAAATGATTGATACACTAACAGATGTTTTGTTACTATGTGGACATCACATTTCCAGAACTCTTCTTACGCAGGCTAATTGCATCTGGTTAGCTGTACTTACCCTTTTCAGCTTGTAATTTTCCTTTGGCTAAATTATTATTGACATCAACAGGAGTTGGACTTCCTCAGTGTCATGTAGAACAGAGAAACATGACTAAAAGAACACAGGTCATAGAGATAGCGTATCTATTTATTTAAATTTCAATCTCTTTTGATGCTAGGTCTCACCTTCAATCTGAAACACTCCAGCCTTCCTGGCTAAGAGGGCTAAATGTGACCAAGGCAAAGAAGCTGCTGTTTTCTTCTCTTACACCTTTCTCACTTTCTTCCCCTCTTTGATTCTATAGTGGGCTTAATGGTAGCCACAGAAGGCTGTGTCTGTGTTTTATGTCTTAATTCCTCAAACCTGTGAATGTGACCTTATTTGGTAAAAGAGTCTTTGCAGATGTAGTTAAATTAAGGATCCTGGGAGAGGGAGCTTATCTAGGGATATTCAATCATGTGTATCTTTATAGAATATAGGTGCATAGGAGACATACAGGGAAGATGAGGAGGCAGAGTGACTGCAGAGGCAGAGAAGAGAGTGATGAGGCCACGAATCAAGGATTGTCAAGATCAGCCAGAAGCCTGAAGAGGCAAGGGAAAGGGGAGGATCCTGCCCTAGAGCTTTTGGAAGAAGCATGGCTTTGCTGACACCTTGATTGTGGGCTTCTGCCTCCAGAACTGCAAGAGAATACATTTCTGTTGCTTTATGCTTCCCAGTTTGTGGTCACGTGTTCCAAAGATAGTAGTATAGCTCCTTTTTACTTTCTTTTCCTCTCCATTTAAGTTTTTCTATCCTTTTGTGCATTTGTCCATTTATGCCCTTCATGAAAATCTCACACACTCTCTCTCTCTCATTGTTGTATCATTGCCAAGACAAAGCACAAAACAATAATTTAATGCATGTGGGTATGATTGGACTTTTATGCAAAGTTGATTGACTGTTAAGCCAACTGACCATATTTTTAATATGAATGAAAATACAAATTACTTGGCAGTTTTGGTAAAAATGCAGAGTCCCAATGTTTTCACCCTAACACATTTCTGATTTTATTGGTCTGAGATGTGACCTGTGAACCAGTATTTTCTAACAAGAATCTGAGGGACTCTTATATAGATGGCTAACAATCCATACTAAGGAAACATTAAAGTAAGGCATGGTTCCCTTTGTTTGCTATCAAGAACTGATGTATATTTGTGGTATGTCAGTCTAAAAGCCCATTACAATCCAGGAAGTAATGTCTATAGGTCAAATCCCAGGCCTCCGTAAAAATATAAGTAATCTCAAAAGGATTTGGTTAGACTCACGTTTAATAATTCACAGTGGCTAATTCAAGGAAATGAGGGTGGTTCCTTAACCTCTGAGTTGAAAGCCAAGGGGGTGTAGCATAACATTTCCCAGCATGTTCTTTACTGCCACTGCCTGGGAGTGGATTCTACACAGGCCTGGCGGGCCCATGTTCCCACACACTGGGCCAATTTTTGTTCCTGGCTCAGGGCTGTGCTTACTTAGAGGCGTAATGGCTTTGTCTGTTTTGCTCCTCAGTGGGGCACATCTCGCATCTATTTTGTTTAGGAACTCTAAACACAGTCTACAGTCCAAAGGGAAGCTCAGCTGTGGAACTCTGAAAAGGATCTGGCTAGAAGCAGCCACAACACACTTTTTTTTCCCATGCTTCTCATCGTCCTTCTCAGACCTGGGAGGTTTTTCAGAGTACTTGATGCTGCAGGCTGTTGGCTGAAACCACCCATCCGGGAGCATGTCCACCTCTTGCTTCTTGGTTGGCTATAAACTCTGGTACATCCAGGACAGAAAGTGGAAGCTGAAAAGGGCAATCAGTTTGTGCCTAAAGGAGGCCATTGTTTACCCCTTATGAAAATAATGGGAAACATAGTACATTCTCACTCATAAGTGGGAGCTAAGCTGTGAGGATGAAAAGGCATCAGAAGGGCACATGGAGTTTGGGGTCTCAGTGGGAAAGGGTGAGAAGGGGGCGAGAGATAAAGGACTACAAATTGGGTTGACTGTATACTGTTTGGGTGATGGGTGGATCAAGATCTCACAACTCACTACTCACGTAACAAATACTACCTATTCCCCAAAAACCTATGGAAATAAAAAATTTAGAAATAAAGTCTTGGTCTCTTAAAAAGTTGAACTTTAAAGCATGGTGTTTCTTACCTATTCATTAAACAGTGGTCCTCAAACTTTATCTGAAAGATTTGTCATAATAGATATCACTAAGTCACACTCCCTGAGTTTCTGATTATGATTCTTCTAGAATTTACACGTCTAACAAATTCCCAGCAACTGCTGCTGGCCTAGGAACTGCCCTTGGAAAATCGCTCCTTTAGGAATCTATCCTTTTTACTTTGCTTTCTACCATGGAATACATAAGCTTGTATTTTACATCCTTTGTGAAGCAAAGGTGTCTTTGTTTGCAACTCAGTTACCCAGAGTGCAAAATGGGTGATAAACTAAGCAAATGGCGGTTCTTTTGCAACTTGGTAGGCTGCCTCAGGTGTCATGCTCAGCTTTCCATCTCATGCTTTTTGACCTACACCTATTTTCCTATGGGCAGCCCCTCAATCCCATGTTACGTGTCCTGACCACGTTTCTTCTTGTTTTACTCCAATCCTCAGGGAGTTATCTTCAGCATACTATACCTAAAGATTCTTATGGATTCGAGAAAATTTAAAAATAGTCTCTCTTCCTCCCAGTACCTACTTTAAAGCATATTCGTATCATGTGCTTTAAAGTATAACGTATATATGCTCATATAGCATAATGAGTGTGCTAATGCATATTGTGCACTTCTAATTCCATGGCAAGACTCTTCAGGTTAACATTATCTTGTTATCCCTATCTTCATAAGTGTTTATGAGCTAGATTGCAGAAAATTTGACATTCAAAAGCCCTTGCTCTTTGAAAGAGAAAATGTAAGCTGAGAAAATATACACACAGAATAGGATCTGGCTAGATTTTGATTAATTTTTGATGAATGAAGCAGAATTGGATGAGGTCAAAAGTTTTGGTTAATTCAGTTGTGGGAGATAAGTACAACCCTCAAAGTTTCTACTATTTCAAAGTCTTTCTTCCTTATTAGGCTTCTCAGGGCAAGTTTGATCCCTTCAAGAACCTGTTCCCTCAACTTCAATGTTTTGTGCTTACTAGATCACACATTGTTATAAACTTTCTACTTTTTCCTGAATTTCTATTGAACATAGTGCCCCTGTCACTGTGCAGTGTCTGGCTCTTCATTCTTTGTATGTGGGGACTGACTGGCCTATCTCTCTGCACATAGTAGGCTTCACAGGTATAAATTTGCAAATTTTTAGCTCTTTTTTTCTGTATCATAAGATTAAAATGATCAAATAATGAGACTAAAAGAAACAGAGAAATGACCAAGAGAAAGACTAATATTGTAATTAGCGGAAAAGAAGCAAGACTCTTTAAAAAAGACATCTTGCTTGGAATAGGTTGTGAAAACAGCCACTCCAGAAACTACCACTCATATGCCCAGAACTAATAAAATTATTCCTCAGCTGTTTTTTATTGAAATTAATGAAAAGAGGAGATTGCAAAAGAAAAACAAAAACAAAAACAAAAAAACCGTGCACAAGTAACTACTCCAGGACAAAGCTCCTGGCATTCTAAGTTCTTTGGAAAAAATACACCCTAAAGGTGTCATAAACAAAATCTCAGCTCCTCTTCCTTCTCTCAAATCCTTTACACCACAGGATAAAGTAATACAAATTTCAGAATTGTAGTGCAGGTTTTATTTTCCTTTTTTCCCTAATCATTTGCGATTAGGGAGATTTCTTTGTTTAGTACAATCTGTCCAGCCAGTAACTTCCAAGTGCCAAGCATAGCACGGCGTCCTTGCGCCTGTAAAAGGGAGTGCTAATTAGAACTGGATGAATCTCATTTGACAGAATGGTCTGATGTCAGGTCCACACCCTTGTTCTTGAAATTCAGATGAAAGTTAAATTGGTACAAAAATAAGTTCTCTTGAAACATTTCCTCCCTGGACTTGACATTTTGATGTTCGGGTTCTTTTGATGTTTAGCATTGAACATTGAGGAGTAAATAACAATAGGAATCCTTCTGAGAACACCACATAAATGTGGTGATTAATGAAGCAGCTGCTGCTAAATGCCCAGCAGTCTGCCATTTTAGACTGTTGTGGGAGTGGCCTTTATGCTGTTGGGTTGCAACTCCAAAATTCATCACCGTGCTCTGTTAACTGAGGGTCTGGAATAGTAGAGGCATATCCCATCAAATGCAAAGACTGTCTTACATTTGGCACTGGTTGCACAGTTCACTAACAGAGAGATTTAAACTGTATATGTTTGTGTGCCTGTGTATATAGCTTTAAAATAACAATTACAAATACAATATGCTTGAGATTTTCAGGAAAAAAAAAAAGTTTAAACAGGAAAGAATGCCAGAGTTAAAAGGTTTTAGAGTTCACAGAGTTCATGCATTTTTTTTTAGCCAGTCATTATAGGTTAAAAAACAAAACAAAACAAAACTGATGTCAAGAAAAGGAAATGATTTGCCCAAGACCTCACAGTTTTCTGCCACTTTCTATTTAGAACCCTAATGAGGTTTCAGTGACTTTCATTTTCTGCTGTATCATTGCCAATTCTTTTTAAAAATGAGACAGAAAAGAGGGCCATGAATCAGAACGAAGAGTCCAGATGAGGAGAATTAGTTGTTGCAGAAAGAGCTGCATGTATCGGAATGAACCCATGTGGAAGTGGCAGGAGGGTGATCCTCCACCCCTGCCCCGCCCTGCTCAGCTGGAGCCGCCACCAGTGATTGCTGGTAGAACCAATCTGCACTGTGTCCAGGGAAGCATTTCTCTCTCATCTCAACCTGTGCTTTTTCCCATTTACCAAGATATCTAAAGTTAGTTTTTTCTCCCAAGGGTCAGAAATGTTCACTCCCATTTAAGATGATTTTTTCAAAGTTCACAACTCCATGTCCAAGACTAGATAACAAAACTCTTTCCCAAGGGTCAAAATCCAACACAGCAAACCTTCTTGATGGCACAAGGTGGGATTCTGATAATTTTTTCAAAGACAGCGAACCAAGAGTGAAATGGAGAGAGGAGTTGTGTAAACCAAATGCAGACACCCAAAAAATAACAGACTGTCAGAACCACAATGTGGACCTACGGTTTCATTCAGCATTCTTCTCAATCTCTCAAACCTTTAAAAATTTTTTCCTGACCAAATGTAGGAAAATAAGTCTTGCAGAACAAAGAGCAGAGTAATGTTTCTAAACCATTAAATTAGGCATGCTGACTGGGGATTAAAGCGGTTCTTAATAAGGTACTGGATTGATGATAAGGCTCCCTAGTCAAATTTGAGATTATTAGGTGAAGAACTTTTCTTTGGCTCCCCAAAATATTAGCTTAAGTTGAATTCAAGGTCAAGATAACCCAGCATTATCCTAGAAAAAGTTAAGTTCCACATCAGTCCTTGTCAGAAAGGCTTTGAATGAAAATAACAGCATATAATTAGTAAATAGATATTTTAGGAATCCCCAGAGATTTGAGGACATGAAGTTTCTTTTTTTATATCAAAAACATTAGGGGAGAGTGCAAACTCAGGCCCCTACTACCGTAAATTATGCAATCAAGTTTCCCACATTTAGGGAAATCACAGGAATCAGCATATTGGAGGCAATGGCTAAGCCTCACTCTTAGAGAACAACCTTTGTGGTCATGGGATCTCTCCTGGTAGCTACATATTGCACATGAGGTTTCTTGAAAAAGGATATTTAGGAAATTAATGGAATCAAGTACTGTATCAGATCTTGTAAAGAACTATAATACTATTGAATGGTAGGAGGATAAGAACTGTATAGAAGAAACATTCTTAAGTTGGGAATATTTTAGTATGGTGACAAAAATATGAATGAAACGACTTTGGTGAAGAAAATGAAATTATGATAAAAGAACATATTTTATTTTTCTAGGATTAGAGTTCACAGAATATAACAAGCATCTGGGAATATCTTCCAGTAAGAGAGTTCATGGAAAGCATGTATGCAAAGTGACAGAAGTTCCCATTTACTGGCACTTGCTATGGGTCAGACCGTGGGTTACGGCTTTACAAATGATATCTAATTTAATCCTTAAAACAACCTAAAACAACCTAGTGAGTCAGGTGTTTTTACTTCTATTTTGCAGATGAAGAAAACAGAGGCTTAGAAAGGTTAAATAACATGTCTAAAATACTACATCTAGTAAGTATAGGAGCTAGAATTTTAGTTCTTATCTGTCTAGTTCCCAACTTTTTACTTTAACTTCCGGATTGCTGTTTCTGAATTCCTTATTTTCTTTTACCATTTCTTGAGGAAGTTCAATCCAAACATTTAACAGAAATATCTGTAAATCTGGAAAGTTAAACCAATTCATTATTTTATTTTATTTTATTTTTGAGACAGAGTCTCACTTTGCTGCCCATGCTGGAGTGCAGTAATGAGCAACACTACAGCCTCCACAGCCTGGACTCAGGTGACTCTCCCACCTCAGTTTCCTGAGTAGCTAGGACTACAGGCACACCCTACCATGTCTGGCTATTTTTTAAAACACTTTTTTTTCTTTTTTTTTTTTGGAGAAACAGGCTCTCACTATGTTGCCTAAGCTGGCCTTGAACTCGTGGGCCCAACTGATCCTCTTGCCTTGACCTTCCAAAGTACTGGGATTAGAGATGTGAACCACCACACCCAGCTAAACCAATTCTTTTACATTTATCTGGGCTGGGTTTGATAGTTACTAAAGCACTGTAATCCTGAAATAGATTGAGATTTAAAATACACTTAAGTTACATGATATTTTGCATATATACGTAAAAATAGTAATAGCTTGCCATTTAAAGATATTGTCCATCTAAAAACATTTCCTAGCATAAGCATATTTATATGAGGTTACTGTTTTTAAAACTGTGTCATACTTTTCATCTAGATTTAGTGTTTGCTAGCATAAGCATATTCATGTTAGATTAATATTCCACTAGGTTCAAACATTTGCTTCAGCTTCAGTGAATGCCTGTTAGTCACATTAGAAATCTGTTTTTGACATTTGCTATTTAATGAGCCCATTATTTTGCAAGTATTTTTCTCAAAAGTGGCTAAAGAACTGTCTGTGATTTGGGTAACTTGTCTAAATAAATGAGGTTATGATATTGCCTATAATCAGCTCAAAACTAAGCTTACATTTTATTTACAAGTTGGCAGCTGACACCAGTGTGATGAGAAAAATGCTGCCATCAGAAAAATGTGGCCAAATATCAATGAGAAGCAGTTTTTTGTACATCCCATTTGGATACAGCTTGAACTAAGGGGCCCTCATTTGGCTCTAGTGATGGGGGTTCATGGTTCACCTTTAAAACTGACATGGTCCTTACCAACCTCATATTCTTTACAAAATCTTTTAACAGTTTGGAATCCCATTGCCTACTCAAATGCATTGGTAAGCTGACTATCATGCAAGTACATCATAATGTTAGAAAGGTGGGTGTTGATCAGGTCCAGAGCAGTGGGTAACTGTGACTCCTGGTAGGTACTGGGGAAATGCTTACAGAAAAGGTGTTACGTACTCTGGGTTTGAAGACTTTGGAACACATATCAAGAGAGCAAAGCCATGCATTGGAATTTACTTTTGAGCAATTTTAATTATGGTTTTTGTTTACTTTTCCAGTAGAAATCAGCTATTATTTGTCTTTTCCACAGAGAAAACATTTTCATCCACTTTCCCCACTTACTGCTGTAGAATGTATGCTGGGTATCCCCAGGCCTTGCTTAGGTCTGTCATCTTCAGATATCCCAAGCCCCTGGAGACTTGAATGAGGGAGGACCAGGCAGAGTGAATGATCTATGCCAGGAGGCAACATATTCTTTTCTCATGGCCTGATTTCAGGAGAAAAAGGAGATTCTGAAGAACTGGCCCTGGAAGTCAGCATACTGCAATTGAGAATGATATTGTTAAATCCACTGACAACAACTTAGCACTCTTTCCACTCCTCAAGCCACTGTTTATCCCAAATGATGCCACCATAGCAAAGAAGCTAGACTGTGGGTACTAGATTACCATGTTTGGCTTGGTTTAGCCTCAGAGCTTAATGATGACTGCACACTTCTACCCCACCACTATGGGCCAGGGAGTTCTTGTGGGCACATCCATACACATTGTATTCGTCAGGGCCCTCTAGAGGGACAGCACTAATAGGATAGATGTATATATGAATAAAAGAGAGTTTATTAAGGTGTATGGACTCACATGATCACAAGCTGAAGTCCCACAATAGGCTGTCTGCAAGCTGAAGAGCAAGGAAACCAATCTGAGACTCAAAACTTCAAAAGTAGGGAAACAGACAGTGCAGCCTTAAGTCTGTGGCCAAAGGCCTGAGGGCCCCTGGAAAACTACTGGTATAGCTCCAAGAGTCCAAAAGCTGAAGAACGTGGAGTCCAATATTCAAGGGCAGGAAGCATCCAGCATGGGAGAAAGATGGAGGCCAGAAGACAGACAGTCTAGTCCTTCTATGTTCTCCTGCTTTAATTCAAGCTGAGCTGGAAGCTGATTAGATTGTAACTGCCCAGATTGAGGGTGGGTCTGCTTTTCCCAGTCCACTGACTCAAATATTAATCTCCTTTGGCAACATCCTCACAGACATACCCAGGAACAATACTTTGCGTCCTTCAATCCAATCAACTTGATACTCAATATTAACCATCACATTCATCTTGTAGAATAGCAGGGCACACTAAGTTCTGGACTATGGTTGAAGAGAAGATCACGGTTATCCTATTAGCTATGAACTTTATTTTGTAGGAATTAAGAGGATAATTGTGTAATTTAGGGGGACAGCAGAAAGTTATTGGTAGCCTATGTAATAAGCTTACAATTTGACTTTGTGATGGAGGGAAAAACAGTTTCCTGTTGGGCTGGCTTTTCCTGGCAGTACTACACTAAGAGATCTCAAAGCAATTAAGATTTACCTAACAACTGTGGTTCTCTGCCTTTTTTCTACTGTAATACATATGCTCACATGTGAAACATTTTCATAGGTGATTGTGGATTTAGACAGGTTTCTGTTGGAATAAAATAGATTTTGGATAATGTGTAAATTACATCCTGTTTGGTTTTGTCTTATTTTTAAAAACTCCTTCATCACACTCCTGTGTATCTCCCAGATGAGGAGACAGAATTGTAAAACAGTAATCATCTTTTTCTTCGCCCCCATAGTGGTTCCGGCCTAGATGAACACAAATTAAAAGACCAAGGACAGATGTCCAATGATGCAAGTGGAAGATGTATTGTGGGGAGGATACACGAGCCAGGATGTGTTTTCTGCTTGGAATAAAAGTTTTTGAGAAACTAAAATGTGAGTTGGAGGGTCTATTTAATGATGCCTCTTGCTAGGTGTACCCATGGAATTATTATTATATATATTCACATATGAGGTGTAGCAGAATAAAAAAAGTGGAAAATTACTATTAAATGGATTTTCTTTACAATGATCATGACCTCAATTAAGAATGTAGTGATATGTTAAAGTGAGTTTTGTCTCTCTGGATTTGTGACAGTCTGGGCTTGTCTTTAGTAAACTATTCATGGGTCAGACTTGGTCTTGTGACTGGTATCTGGAGAACAATTTGCTTTCAGAAATTCATAAGAAAAGAAAATATGTTGAAATTATACATAAAAGTAGCCTGGGATTTTGACATTCTTTTTCCTTTTAGTACATGGAAGCATAGTTATTTGAAGAACACTATTTCAAATCTACAGTCCTTTAAGTTAGGAATGCTACTGTGTTACCCATACTTTTTGAGATTTTTTTAAAAGCTAAAGTTAGCAAAGTTTTTTTGGTATTTGTTTTCAGCCACTCTAAAGACAATCTAATTTTTCTCTTTCAACATATATTGCATGTTTACAAAGGCCTTACCTAGTATCACATAAATATGATGAGAATTGGAGTTGAGAGTCATGAAACCTGAATTTTTTTCACTAATTTATTTATCAATTATTTACTAAGCCCCTACTACATTTTTTGTATCGGGGAACAGGATGGATTAGACTCATCTCTGTCATCAAAAGTAGTATAACCTTGTGGATTATAATTGTCTATTATTGTGAGATGTCTGCCCACCACATACAGGGTGTAAATATGCATAGGTATGGGTTCATAAACACAGCTTTGTTTTGTTTTAAACTTATATAAATGGTATTCTGAATTTATCATTTTGAGATTTTGTTTTTGTACTTATTTTCAAATGCTGTATTTATTGTTTAATTATTCCCTTATACAAATATATAAAATATATTTATTGTGAATTATTCCCTTATGCAAATATATAAAATATATTTATTTCTTTTTTTGATTAGTCAGAATTTTGGTTGTTAACGGTTTTTGATGTTATCAACAAAGATGTCGTGAATATTCTTGTCCATATTCCTTATGGCTATGTGTGTTAAAGTTTCCAGGAAGAAACTTACATGGTCATTGGAAAAATGCATTTTCAACTTTACCAGCTAATGCCAATTCGTTTACCAGAGATAATGTACAAATTCACACTCATCAGCAGCACAAAAGAAATAAAATAACCTCTTCTTGTCAGACTTTCAAATTTTGTATCAGTTGAATAAACATCAACTAGTGTCATATGATTGTTTTAGTGATAATTGTTCTGAATTCTTTGAGTTGTACTCGATATATTGATTAATACTTTCAGTTTCTTCCCCATGAA